GAGAATCAATTTCTGTTGTTTTAACTCAGCCTGTTTGTAGTAACTTGTTATGGCAGTCCTAGTAACCTAATACAATAAAATTAACACAAACACTTAAGCCAATACAAATATGAAGCAATCTCATTTATCAGTACCCACAGAAGCAGTTTAAATACCATTTCAGTAGAAAAAAACCCACCACAAGTGGGATTATTTCAGGAATACTTGAATGGTTCAGTGTTAGAAAAATATGAATGTTATAAACTTTCCTTTTATACATGTTGTACAATTTTATATCAACAATTTCATATTCTTAAATCTAATTTATTTTTTTAAGGATGTGAGTTGCCTATACATATCCATATTATATTTTCTAATACTTTTTTCTTCCTTAATAAGAGGGCTTAATTATCAATGACAATCATCATAATCATGAATGTTGGAATGTGAATGTACCATAGTTAGCATTGCCAGGTAAAATACAGGACACCTACTAAATTTTAATTTTGGATAAACAACAAATGAATTTTTGTACAGCTATATTTCATGTGATTATTGAAACATACTATATTTAAAAATTCCATACTTAATCCTAAATTCAAATTTAATTGGGAAGCCATAGTTTAATTAATTAGATTTGGCAACATTGACTTAATACTTGTTAAATATGAACATCAATAATGGGGGATTTATTTTTATATTTATTTATTTATTCTTCCTTTTATTTCATCATATTATGGGGGTACAAATATTGTTAGGGTTACAAATATTCCCCCTGCCCCCCTCACTCTCCCCGATGTGCCAGAGATTCAAGCGTGTCCAATCCCCCGGTGGTGCGCACCACACACAAAATGGGGGATTTATTTTTAAACTCACAGAGACAAGACTACAAATGAGTTTGGTCCAGAGAAGTAGACCCAAGGCAAATTCTATAAAAATGTGAAAAGAATCTGATACTGAGATTTCCTGTAGAACACCTTTGCCTAATGCTTACTTATTTCTCATATTGAACACCAAACTGATAATCCAGAGTTGCAGTTTTCCAAAAAGAGAAATTTGTCTTAGTTCTGAAATTTTGTGAAATGAGATAGATTATATTCAGATAATCAGCCCTTTTCATATAATTTGGTGAGATAAAATCTCTAGAGTAAATCATAATGAAGAAATTGTCAAGAACTGAGCCTACTTTTCCCCTAAGTCTTAGAGTAGCTCTAAAAGGAGAGCTCTTTCCCTTATTCTTTCTGTAGCTTGAGTGTTAGTTACTTATTTAATCGGAATGATTATTAACAAAATTCAGCCAGAAACAACTGAAAACACAAACCATTGACAGTGTAATGTAGAGGTGGAAAAAACTTTTGCTGATGAGCAATCATTGGTTCCCCATCTTCCTTTATTATGTTCACATTATCCCTCATGTTTATGGAGTTATGATTTTGTTTTATTATGTTTTAAGGCAGGAAACATTTTGTGTTTTATAAACTTTCAGCCACATATTTCATGCTATTTCTTTGTGTGTAACTCAATACCATGGATTAATTTTCATTTTTAAGTTTGTTCTCCACTTTCTTATAAAAATTAGGGATTAGGTATACAGAGTTGATTGTTTTGGATACACTGTTTTTGATAGACTATATATAGGTTAAAAAATATGCTGGTCACTAAGGAAAGTGAAACACCAAAGAAATAGCTTTCTAGTAGCAAAAGATTGCTAGAAAATTCTGGAAGACCTATTTAGAAGGCGTGGGTGATGTATACTTGAACAGCTTTGCCAGAGTTACAGTAGTAAAAAATTAATAATTATAATCCTAATATCCTCTTTATGTACTATTGTGGTTATAATAATAAACAAAGGATAACATAATTTAAATTTTATGCATAATCATGACATATCCAAGAATAAGTAAATGGGGATAATTTCCTCCCAGTTGTTCTATACTTGCAAGTCATCACCAGCAGCTTCTCTTCGTAAATGAGGTTGTTAAAATATTTCCATTTACATTAATTCATTTGTTTCTAAATTTCTGTCCCAACCTAAAATAATTCTCTCATTCCTTCATGGCTCCACATGGGTCCCCTTCCATCCATCTGCCAGTTCTGGCAAACAAGTCTCTCAAAATGATTATCCCTGCCCTGAGGTAGTTAAATATATATTGGACGATCATCAACATGAAACCATGTGTCCACATAAACAGCCTGCACCTTAGCAGTAGGTAGGTTAGTGTTAAGACAAATGACATTTAACTTGCCAAGGGACTTTCTATAAAATGGAACAAGAGGTATCTGTCATATTGGATGCACAGCTTGAAATAAATAAATGGAGATGAATGTTTTAACATCCAATGTTATTATGAGAAAGGAGTGTTAACCATCCATAGTAAAGTAAATAAATCTTGATATTTTAATTCTAATGTCTTAAATATTCATATGTAATGAAAAGAACTTTAGGCATGGTAACGCCTACCATATGCAACAGGTTAACTCCAAAAATTATAAACACTGATCTTAAGCAAATGATAAACACACCAAGGCTCCAGTTTTTCATGAGCAATATACTTGATTCTAACTCCTAATGCCAAGAGGGGCATCTTCATCCACCCAATTCCTTATAGATTGCAAGGTAAATGTGTACCATTTCTAGGACAGTTTATTTACATTTGGATGGAGTTTATTGATAAATGAATTAAAGATAGCCACTTATTAATGTAAAGAAGAAAAGAGTCAAGAAAAGAAAAAAAAAGTTTAATCTGTGGATCCAACTAGGAATATACAACTCCTCAAATAAGATGGGTGTTAATTATTTCGTCAATTTATTCCTAGAGTAGGGTCCCTTGGAAGAAATTAAATCCCTATTGATAAGTCACAAACTGAAGAGTTCATAACCCTTCTATAAAAATATATAAATCCAAATTTCATAACATTTTTATCATATGTTATTGCTTATGTATTGTATATATGGTCAACTTTTGTTTTTAAGATCTAAAAAATTTTTATTTTCTTTTATAAAAACTGGTAAAATATCATAGTGACTTAGCCTCATCCATGTCCCTGTGATCTTAGTTTTCTAGGTTTTATGGTCTTAATAACTGGTTTAGAAATGAAATGGTATTTTGCCTTCTGTGTAAACTCCAATTCCTGGGAAGGCCAATTTTCCAATGCAATTTAGAAGAGATAACAAAAGCAATTTTCAGCAGGACTGATCATTCCATTTACAAGATCATATTAAGGACACTGTAGTTAGTTTCTCCTTGGATGCTATGAACTGAATGTGTTTCCCCCACCTAATTTCATATATTAAAGCCCAATCCCTAGTGTCATGTTATTTGAAGGTTAGGTTTTGGGAGATAATTACATCATGAGGGTGGTGCCCACACAAATGAGATTTGTGCCTTTATGAGAGGAGACGCAAGAGAGATGGTTTTCTCTGCTATGTTGAAAATACAGTATAAAAGAGGTTATCTGAAAACAAGGAAGAGGGCCCCTACCAGACAGTGGTTCTGCAGGTACATCGATCTTGGGTGTCTAAGTCTTGTTGTGAAAAATGAATCCTTGCTGTTTAAGCCACTCATACTGTGATATTTCCTTGTAGCAGCCTGAATTGACTAAGACATTGACACTAAGGGTAAAGAAAATGATATGAGCCCCTTTATAAGGAATGTCCATTCTCTGATCCTGCTAAGAAAGAAAGTTTCTAGGTTGAATCAGGCTAGTGAAAAATCAGTGGCAGAAATAGGAATAAAAAAAAAAATCTCTATTCTGTTTTTTCTCACAGACATTTGTCATAGAGACCAGCATCAATGGATACTTCATCAGGTTCAAAATGAAAGGCTGGCCTCTGGATCACATGGACTAACTTCATCACAGGAACTTTTAGCTTGTGAAACTAAATCTGGTTTCATTTCTCACTCACAGACCCTCTTATGTGCATTATTCTAAATATTTTACAAATATTTGGTTCCTATCCAAAAAGGCAATTTCTCTTGGAAATATTGCCTAAAGGCTCTTATATACCCCTATACATGAGTTTGTATGCTTTTCATCAATGTCCATAATTCCCAATGCATCTTATTGCACTAAATACAAAGTGCTATAAAATGTCTGTTTACTATTTTATATCCTATAGTAGACCAAATATTCTCTGGATCAAGACAAAGACTAACCTTAATCATTTTTATAAGCTAAGTCAAATTCATGATGCCTGATATATATTAACAGGGTACATGGAAATATCAGTTTGACAATCAAAAATAAGAAACAAACTAAAAGATTGCAAGGAACTATTAATAAAGACTCAAAACTAAAAATAAAATAGTATAAACAAGCAAATTATAAGAAGGCTATATTTAAAACAAACAAAGTTGATTAAAACATCAAAACACAGTAAAGGAAATGAAAAACAAATAAATGAAATAATACCACCAGCAAAACAGACAAATTAGCAAATACAATCAAAATAACAAAAGTGAACTTCAAAATTTTGTATAAAATCTATTTTTTAATTCAAAAAAGCATTGACTTGAAAAACTAAAAATGTATCATATTTTAAAATAAGATATCAAGTTTAAGAAAGCAATATAAAAATAAATTGATGATGTATTTAAAATTAATGATTTGAGATAAATTGTTTAAATGTAAAAACATACTACTTTATTTTTAAAATTGTTAGAAATTAGTAGCAGATATTTTTAAGATTAATAATATAAGTTGATGAAGAGATAGAAAGAAGTTACTACAGGAAACCGAATAATAAGACCCCCAAAGCAATATTTATTTGGCTGTGTGTCATATCTTTTTGTACCTAGTTATCACCATATTTAGGGCTGTGTAAAATCACTGTCAATTTAGGCATAAGTTTCTGTGACTTCTACTTCGGATGTTATTATTTAGGCAAACTTTATAGTTTGTTTTAAAACAAAGCTAGCATAACTTTATCACAGTTGTTTTTTTCAAAAATGAGAAAAAAATAATGCTTGTTTGAAAAGTAATAAAGTCATACTATTGAAAATCTTGTCTCTCCCCCACAGCCACTGAACTATGAGAAAAAGAAGTCATATACCCTCAACATAGAAGGAGCAAATACACATCTTGACTTTCGCTTTTCTCACTTGGGTCCTTTTAAAGATGCTACTATGCTGAAGATCATTGTTGGGGATGTAGATGAACCACCACTATTTTCCATGCCTTCCTATGTCATGGAAGTCTATGAAAATGCCAAGATCGGGACCATCGTTGGTACAGTTTTGGCACAAGATCCTGACAGTGCTAATAGCTTAGTAAGGTATGGTATGTTTCGATCTTTTAGATGTACAAAGATTTTTATTGCCTCTCACATTAAGTTAACATAAATAAAATAATACTTGAATATTTTATTTCCATGTTTTTTTCCTATTAATATAATTAAATTAAAATATTAGGTGATTCTTTAACTGAGTAGCTTAGTAAATGGGTTTCTGTCAAATAAAAATATATTTAGCTATCTTCATAGATGTATTATTGACCACACAGATTAATTTTTCCACTTGACTTAATGAAAGTGAACATAATTAACAGAGAAAATTGTTGTAGAAATAGTTAATCACGTACTAAATCATAAAGAGAACTCTTTGTTTCTGTAGTGATGGCAAGTATAGATAGTATAGTTATAGTACAAAAAGGATTTGGGAATTATACTCATCTCTAAAGAAGTCTAATTCCTCTGACTAGTTGTGGCTTTAGATAATAATCTATCCTTTTATGTAAAAGAGGTAAAATAATGTCTATCTCTCAGAGTTATTGTGAGGGTACATGAGGCAATGTACATAAAGCACCAAGCAAAGAGGCCAGCACCTGGTAATCACTTAATAAATACTAACTTGTCCAAGGCAGTATAAAGTGCTGACTTAGAGATTGGACTCTGTTTTTTGGTTTGTCTGTTTTTTTGATTTTTAAATCTTATTTATTTATTTATTTTAGCATATTATGGGAGTACAAGTGTTAAAGTTACGTATATTGCCCATGTCCCCTCCCTCCTCGAGTAAGAACTTCAAGCGTGTCCATCCCCCAAACGTTGCACATCTTACTCATTGTGTTTGTATAAACCCATCCCCTCCTCCCCCCTCCCACCCTCCCGACATCTGATAAATGTTACTCCTATATGTCCACTTAGGTGTTGATCCATTAATACCAATTTGCTGGTGAATACATGTGGTTCTTGTTTTTCCATTCTTGAGATACTTTACTTAGTAGAATGGGTTCCAGCTCTACCCAGGAATATACAAGAGGTGCTATATCACCATTGTTTCTTAAAGCTGAGCAGTACTCCATGGTATACATATACCACATTTTATTAATCCACTCATGAAATGATGGGCACTTTGGTTGTTTCCACAGCTTTGCAATTGTGAATTGTGGTGCTATAAACATTCGAGTGCAGGTGTCTTTTTCACAAAGTGACTTTTGATCTTTTGGGTAGATGCCCAGTAGTGGAATTGCTGGATCAAATGGTAGATCCACTTGTATTGCTTTGAGGTATCTCCATATTGTTTTCCACAGAGGTTGAACTAGTTTGCAGTCCCACCAGAAGTGTAGGAGTATTCCTATCTCTCTGTATCTATGCCAGCATTTATTGTTTGGGGACTGTTTGATAAAGGCCATTCTCACTGGAGTTAATTTATATCTCACTGTAGTTTTGATTTGCATTTCCCTGATGATTAGAGATGTTGAGCATTTTTTCATATATTTGTTGGCCATTCTTCTGTCTTCTTTTGAAAAGTTTCTGTTCATGTCCTTTGCCCATTTTTTGATAGGGTTGTTTGATTGGACTCTGAATACAGGAAAGCCAGTGTTGGAATTCTAGTATCTCTATCCACTAGCTGAGTGATCTTATACTGTCATTCACACCTGAAGAATCTCAAATTTCTAATATATGAAGAAGGAATAAAGCTATGTAAATATGTTAATAGAATTAAATTAGATTGAAACATAGGACTTAGCACAGTGCCAAGGACATGATAAGTACTCACCAAATAATATTTTTATTATTTTAGTATGTCATGAAGTAGAGGTCATTAAAGCTTTCTTGCGTAATCAAAAACTTTTTTTGTCTAATTTATGACAAAATCAAAAAGACTGCATAAATGTGTAAAATGCCTTAGTTAGCCTATATTTATATCTTTGGAAATCCTAAGACCCTAGAAAGTTTGAAATCTTTAACAAACTTTTTTGCTTTTTTAAGTAAAGTCCTTAGTTTTCATCCATTTTAATGAAAGATATGACCTAATGACTTCTCAAAGACCCCACCTCCAAATACCATCACATTGGGGATTAGGCTTCAACATGAATTTTGGGAATATACAAGCATTTAGTCCACAGCATGTAGAGTGAGGTTGGCACCTAGAGGAAGAAGTCAGGGGCGGTATTAAATATTCTGTAATTCACAGAACAGCTCCCGGCAGAAAGAATTGTCTAGCCCCAAGAGTCAACAGTGCTGAGGTTGAGAAAATGTGATATAGAGTAAGAGACAAACCAAGTGATAGATTGGTAAAACTGGAGTATTAATTGTACTCATGGAAAGACATTTTGAAAAGATATTTTTGGGAAATATGTATCCATTTGTGTAATTCATAGAGATGTAGTCATGCGAATGCTTCAATGTATACATTTAATCAATAAAAACATATGTCTATAGACAATTAATTGCCTGTGATATTATTATTAATTGCCTCAGTAATTGCCTTTTATTATTAGAAGTATTTGAGTATATGCTCACTATTATACATGTATTCTACCAGTTGTTCAATGCAAATATGATTGGTACATTGTCTCCAAATTCTAATGTAGAGAAGCATAAATCTATTAGCATATGCATTATTCTCTCTGCTTTGTTTTGGTTAGACAACTAAAATGATTCCTGCTAAAGCTGCCTTAAAATAATTAGACTCCATAGCTGCTGTTTGGGGCATAATTTACATAATATTTATTCTTGATTTTAATAAAAATGTGTCATTCACATAGGCCTCTAGGTGCAAACAGTGAATAAAAAACAGAAACATTAACATACACAAAAGCAATTCTTATACTTCCACCTTTCTCAGGGACCAAATGTTTGTACTAATTAAGGAAAAGCACATTGAAAAGATGTACTTTGCCATGTGTCCCAAAATGCAATTAACTCCAAGTTTGTAGAATTGGTAATGAAAGGGAGTTTGAATTTTACAGGCATTTGTCAACAGCTTCCTGACTTCAGTCTTTTGTATTTCAATCTTCTAAACTACTAGTAAAACTCTTCAGATTTCTTAGAATATGACATGTCTAGGTTTTGTCTTTTCCAACTGTAAACAAGATGTGCAATTTGCAGCAATATAATCATCACCTTTAAAAAAAGTGCCTGGATGTTTACCAGCAGTGAAAAAATCTTTGATTTAAACAGGCTACAATTACTAGCTGGCATACTACAAATGGAATTCAGGAATTTCACAGATAAGCTACTGAGAGATGAGCAATCCCTACATTGAACATAAGAAGCTAGAGAGCTTTTGGAAATGTAACCTTATATTATGTGACTATTAAAAATAGTGACTGGTCATTCATTGCTTGCTATCTGTTAGACAGGGACTTTATATATTTTTCCATAAACCTCTTAGCAACACTAAAACAGTCTGTATAACATTGGTGCCTGGGTTCCTATCTGTGAATTCATTTCATGCATTGGAAAAGGGGGATGAGAAAGACAGTCAAGTCTCTTTTTAACTTAGCAACATCTCAGGAATAAAATTGTTTTTAATTTTGTAGTTTCTTGATAGTGTAAAGTCGAAGATATACTGTACTCGATTTATTATAAGAAAAAAGTTTATTGAAGTTCCCCAATCACATTTCTCATATGAAGAAGAGTTTTAGCAGCTAAGTGTACATGAACAAGTATGTACCCTCATCTTTCTTTTTTTTTTCCATTCTGATTTATAAGCTGAATTTTTATATGCATTTACTTATTGAATGTTTTCTTTGTATAATAACTTTAGGGTAATAAAAAAAGAAATATTAAATAGTTTGCATAATTTTTCTAATGCTCATGAGAACACTATTTAGAAAACAACCGATAGCCCATTTGTATGCTAACATAAGAAATAAATAAAGCTGTAATTATATTTGGAAATATTGGCCAGTTTAAAAGAAACCTTTCTAACATATCTTTGAAAAAATGGTTGAAGAGTATTAGAAGTGTTTACTGAGCCTATTCTGATATTTATTGTAGGGTTAGTAGACAAATGCTTCCAGTATGTCTCCTGCATCCTTACTGGTATGTTTTCTTTGTTCTGTACTTCTAAGGTTTTCACATAATTCAGGACAAGAGTGGATTTAGGAATACCACATTAATTTTGAATGTTATCACAATAAGAAAATAAGGGATATTTCACAATAATGATGTCATTTCACAAAGTAGAAGAGGGGGGAGTGAAAAAATGATTGAGAGAATTTGAATGCAGGATACAAACTTTTGAAAAGAAAAATGAGCAATAACCAGCAAATATGTTTCAAAATATTTTGATGTTGAAGATAATTTCTGATATTTTTAACATAGTATCTTTAACATGAAATGAAAAATTCCAAAAAAGGTTCCCTAGCATTTCTAGAATTCAGGATCGATGGAGTTGCTGCTGATACCTAGTTACTTAGAGGCATAGATAACATAGCAAAATATTATAATTGATTGTACAGATTTTTTACTTCTTTTGTTTAACTGGATAGAAGTTTTGATTGACTAAGTTAAGTTTTCCAAAATATCCATGTGCTAGATGTGTTGCCCAATTTTATTAAACACTACGCATGAAACCTGCTTAATCATGTGAGAAATATTTTGTTTTATTTTTTGAGAAAGTTTATTTTCTCAATGCTTGACTTGTGCAATAAATCGCATCCCCAAAGATAACAAAGAAAACCTTAAAATTTTGATGAACCTGAGCTATACTTCAGGTGTGTGATTTTTGTTAAGCTACAGATGAGGCCAAACTGCTGTTATATCCCACAAGGTAAGTATTGAATAAACTTTATCGCAGCCCTTTATAATATTCAATAAAACTCACAAAACTGCTATTTGAGGGAGGAAATCTTAAAGAAATTGGATTTACCACTCACCTACTATACCTAGAAGTGTCTAAAATGTAACAACAGAAAGAGTTCTGTACTTTGAATCAATTGATATTTCTCCAAATAAATCTACATAAAAATATTTTCCATTATATGTTTTAAATTAATTTCTATGGTGAGGTGGGCAGAGTATAATGAAAATAATAAATGCCTCTG